CCTTCCCACCCTTTTGCTTTGCAGAAAAGATCTCCTGACTGATCTCACCACCTTTCATATGCATCAAGTCTCCTTTCTCCAGAAACACTTATCTAAGCTTTCTTAACACCACTGTCAAATAGAGATAGAAGTAGGAACATAGCGTGAAGCTGGGACTTTGGACATTCTCCATTTAAAAAAAAAAAAAAGTCATGTGTAGCTATGCATAGAGCATCTCGTTAAGTCTGGAAAAAAATGAAATTCTACCAAAAATGTGTAATTCCACTGATCAAATTTTCTTTGTTACATATTAGAGAGGACAGATATTTGATCTTCAACAACTATAACAAGGAATGCAGAGAATGAGGACACAGGAGCTTCCCTTTTTTATAGTATACCAGGGTAAAAATAACATGGAAAATTCTTCCTCTCTAGAGTTTAAATGCCCAGTGAAATCTTGGGCAGGAGAATGATGTGGGGAAACTGGACAACGGTCAGTGAGTTTGTTCTTGTGAGCTTCTCAACCCTTTCCTCTGAGCTTCAGGCTCTACTGTTTCTCCTGTTTTTGGCCATTTACTTGATTACTCTAATGGGCAATGTCCTCATAATCCTGGTCACTACAGCTGACTCTGCCCTGCAAAGTCCTATGTACTTCTTCCTCAGAAACTTATCCTTCCTGGAGATGGGTTTCAACTTGGTCATTGTGCCCAAGATGCTGGGAACCCTGATCATCCAAGACACAACCATCTCCTTCCTTGGCTGTGCTACTCAGATGTATTTCTTCTTCTTCTTTGGGGCTGCTGAGTGCTGTCTCCTGGCCACAATGGCATATGACCGTTATGTGGCCATCTGTGACCCCTTGCGCTACCCAGTCATCATGAGCCGTAGGTCCTGTGCCCAGCTGGCAGCTGCCTCTTGGTTCTCAGGGTTTCCAGTGGCCACTGTCCAAACCACATGGATTTTCAGTTTCCCCTTTTGTGGTCCCAACAGAGTAAACCACTTCTTCTGTGATAGCCCTCCTGTCATTGCCCTGGTCTGTGCTGATACCTCTCTGTTTGAACTGGAGGCCCTGACAGCCACTGTCCTGTTCATCCTCTTCCCTTTCTTGCTGATCCTGGGGTCCTATGTTCGCATCCTCTCCACCATCTTTAGGATGCCCTCAGCTGAGGGAAAACGCAAGGCCTTCTCCACCTGCTCCTCCCACCTCCTGGTTGTCTCCCTCTTCTACAGCACTGCAATCCTCACGTACTTCCGACCCCGATCTAACACCTCTCCTGAGAACAAGAAGCTGCTGTCACTCTCCTACACAGTGGTGACTCCCATGCTGAACCCCATCATCTACAGCTTAAGGAATAATGAAGTGAAGTCTGCACTGAGGCGGGTTGTCCACAGGACCCTGGGCCCTCAGAAACTGTGACTGACAGATGGAAACTGTGACTAACAGATGGAAACTGAAGAGGTAGCATGTAGAGACAAAGGAAAGAGAACTGAATTCCTCAAGAGGGTTTTGGTCTCTACTCTTCCCAGGAGACACAGTGTGTGTGCCCACTGGGATCTGGGACTTTTGACCAGGATCCTCTTTTGAAAGAAAGGACATGAGCAATGAAATCAGTACAGCAGGCTCAGTATGCTGTGAGACTACGGTAGAGCGGACTCTTCATAAATGAGGATCCTCTGAAGGTTGAATTTCTATTACAATACACCATTTTTTATGTTTTAACATTGAGCTTCTTCATCCATTTCATTTTATGATCTTGTACTTGACTTTTCTTCTATTTGCCCAAAAACCCTATCTACATATTTCCAGGGTGTTTTTATTTACAAAGTAATAAAAGTAGTTACTAATGATAATAAATAACTGAATTTTTTCATTCTCTCACTCATTTTTTTTTCGACAAATTTTAAGTTTGCGCCCAAAAATCCCCCCCCAAAATTTAATTCAACATTTTGCACATCAGGTCCTGTGTTGGCCCTGAAGACACGTTAGTGAGGAAAATAAATAAATTTCTTGCCTCATGGGATTTATGAAAGGATGGTTAGAAGCCCCAGGGGTTTAGAATGTACACGTTTAGGTGGCTAGCACCTCAGGGGTTCTGCCTCTGCTACAGTGGCCTATGCCTTGTAGCGTGGTAAAAGACTCCGCACTGACAACAGCCTAAATCTCACATTAGCCACATGGGATATGAAAGCTGCTTGACATAAAGGGTAAAGAACTCCCCAAAGATAAGTAGAGAGAGATTATGGGAACATGCTGTAAGGAACTGAAATGATTCTTCGTGTACTCAACTTTTTTTCTGTAATCTTAATGTGATTGAATGAAATCAATTGTCCTTTTCAAGCTGGCTTCTTATTTGGTCCAAGTAGTTTTTCCTAGTGAAGTAATATGACTCTGGACTCTCAGCAAACAGCAGCCTTGGGTTCCAGGCAATCTATCTGTGTGCAAATATATTCCTAATATTTCATTGATAATCATAGGGCTAAATAGTATTTGCCACACAAGCCTATCCCCCCACCGACTCTATAAATAACCCTACCTTTGTGTGCCATAAAGGACAAGGTGTCCTTTAGCTCTCTTGTAGCAAGGGCTCCCAAAGGACAAACTTAACAGCAGGATAATAAATAATTTATTATAGCATATAAGGTGTTATATTAAATTTATACAACAATACATATATAAACACATATACTATTTATGTTACATAGTAATTTAATGACAAGAATGTCAAAAAATATTACTGATAGGTTCAGTGGTCTGATTTGGACTGGACTGCACAAATGTTCAGGCCAATGTTTAGGGAGCAAGGTTCTCAGTGAGCAACTCTTGGCTTGGAGTCATGCCCAAAAGTTATTTTATTACATGTAAAATTCTCAGTGCAAGAGGGTCAAAATTTTAACACAAAGGTAAATCTTCCAAGGAACAAAGGGTTGGACTGATGACAAATTAGGGATCAAAGGCAATCAAAGTGCTTGATGTATGGCTAAAGAAAGGGTTATTATAACCAGGGTTTAGGCACCAGGTATGGCAAATGTTTTTGTAAATCTCTTTAAGGTATTACCAGACTTCCTATCCAGGTTGCCTTCTCTGGATTTAGGGTCTGATTTACAAGTTCTCCCAGTCAAGTAAACAAAAGAATTCTGAGAAGAAAATAAGGTGGGGAGACATCTTAAAAATATAGCCTATAATTTAAAACAATTATAGATAACAATGATGACTGCCTCTCATACCTACTTCATACAATTGTATGTAATACTTCCCAATAGGAAAGTCCTTATAGAGGCACTGCCCTAAAGACTTTAGGAACAGATGTATGTCCTGACATTCCGTCCACCTGACCTTGGAATCAAAGGGTCTCATCCCAGTAAAACTTGAACATCAAAACCTGTACCTTGCCAGATGCTCAAAATTTTTAAATGAAGATCAGTTTATATCAAATAATCCTCACTCACTATTGCCACCACTAAAACCTACGTCTATTGTGTTCGTACACGATGAGGCATAATTTACTCTGAGGCTGTTGTGAAGGCCTAGGGCGGTGACTCATTGAATTGAGAGATTCTAGACAACTTGAGACCAAATGAAGGCCCTGCTTTTGTTGGAGTCCTTCATGGTGGTGCTTTCACCCAAGGACTTGCCCCCACTCATACTGGACTCCCTGTCGCCGAAGCAGTTGATGGTGAAATTGTTCTGCTGCTTTTCACTGGCATCCACCATGGTCGATCCTGTGGAACAGGGACTCATAAGGAGTCGCTGACTACTACTTAGGCCTGAGGGCTGGTGTAGGACTGCACCGGAATGGGGTACATGTCCATGTGTTTCAGATCATTTGCTATCTTTTATGGATTGTTCCTTTGTTCTCTGGCTTCTAATTATAATATAATAGCAGAGGATCAAAAGGTAGATGGGGAATGTACTTAAAATGTTTCTCTCAGTGGCTTGCTCCCTCCATACCACATAGTCCACAGCTCCTGCCTGGTCCACTGTGCATATAGCTATCCTTTCTGGGTCTTAATACCCTCCTCTTTGTCCTTTAGGCTTAGGGTTGATTATACCTCCTAGCACTTGCTAGCCCTAAAATATGTCATTATTGACTGTAAGATTCCAAAACTCTGAATTCACCAATGTGAAAGTGTATCCTTGTAGATCTGATCTTCATGTCTCTTCAAAAAAAAAAAAAGTGTAAGATGGACAGCAGAGCTCATATAGTCTGCTTCTTTGTACACGTGTTTTCCATTTCCTCAAGCACACATACAGATACGACATGTGCCAACACATAGCACCTAGCTCATGATAAGTGAAAAAGCAATGTTTGTTAAATGTTTATTATTTTATGATATAAAAAATTCAGAAATACTCAATGATAGATCTGGAATAGACATCATGTTTTAAAAGATTTTACAAGGTCACAAGCAATTGTAGCACACACCTGTAATCCCAGCAGTTTGGGAGGTTGAGCCAGGAATATTCAAAGCCAGCCTCATCAATTTTGCAAGGCCCCCAGCAATTCAGTGAGATCCCATCTCAAGATAAAAGATAAAAAGGCCTGGGGATGGGCTGGGATTGTAGCTCAGTTGGGAGAGCGTTTGCCCAGTATGTGTGAGGCACTGTGTTAGATCCTCAGCCACCACATAAAAATAAATAAATAAAATAAAGGTATTGTGTCTGTCTACAACTAAAATACATTTTTAAAAAAGGGCTGGGGATGTGGCTCAGTGGTAAAGTACCTCTGAGTTCAATCCCCTGTATAACAACAACAAAAAAAAGATTTTATAAGGTCTATGAAATATTACTTTTTCTTAGAGGAAATCCTGTTATGTGTCAAAGGATGAACCACAAGGAAGCAGATCCTGCATCCTATTGATCATGAATTATTATTCTTCTCCTTCTACAAATGAACTGCTGCATAAATGATAGTGAATCCATAGTCAAGGCCCGAGAATGAGAATTTTGCCATATTTAGATTTACAAGGAAGAGGACTACCTAGCAAGTCTTACTATGTAAGAGGTCAAAAGTGTCTCTGAGTCAGTGGGTGATTTCAAGCTGGCACCGGAAATTCCTTGTGGCTACTTTCCTCAGAGCTCCCTTCACATCCTTGTTTCTCAGGCTGTAGATGAGGGGATTAAGCATGGGGGTCACCATGGCATAGAAAACAGACACTAGTTTCTCTTGCTCTTTGGAAGACTTTGGTGTCATGTAGGTGACAATTGCTGACCCATAAAAAAGGGTGACCACCATGAGGTGGGAGCCACAGGTAGAAAATGCCTTGAGTCTTCCTGCAGCCGACTTCATCTTGACCACAGTCACAATGATGCGGCCATAGGATACAAGAACTAAGGAGACAGGTATGAGGAGAATCACAACCCCCATGAGGAAAATGGCCATTTCTGAAATGCGAGTGTCTGTGGATGCCAGGATCAACAGTGCAGGGGCCTCACAAAAGAAATGAGCAATACTGTTGCTACCTTGGTAAGGTAGCCTTAGTGTGAAAGTAGTGTCCACCACAGACACTAAAATGCCACTGGTCCATGATCCTGTGGCCAGTTGGAGACACACCCTCCAGGTCATGATGCTAGGGTAATGCAAAGGGTTACAGATTGCTACATACCGATCATAAGACATCACCGCCAGAAGGGCACACTGTGTACACCCAAAAATGAGGAAGAGCAGAAGCTGAGCTGCACAACGTGTAAATGAAATGACCTTCTTTCTGGAAAGCAGGTGGACTAGGGCCTGAGGAACTATGTTGGTAGAGAAACAGAGGTCAGCCAGAGACAGGTTGCAGAGAAAAAAATACATGGGTGTGTGAAGCCGGGAGTCAACTTGAACAAGGGATATAAGAAGCAGATTTCCAAGCACAGTGACCAAATAAACACCCAGGAATAAGATGAAGAGCAGCTGCTGGGTAAGGGGGTCATCAGAGAGTCCCAGAAGGAAAAATTCTGTCACTTGTGTCTGATTTATCTGCCTCATAGCCTGTCTCCCTTTTCAACAAGAAGTCACTATCTTGTAAACACAGGTGTGCATATCCAGGAATGACCCCAATCACAATAAGCCTTTTCAAAAATCCCCTTTACAAGACCTTTTAGATGACGATCATGCTGCTTAAGTTTGAACACTTTCAGTGTTTCGGAATAATACTTCCTAAGATAGTGCTTTCATTTTTTGGTTTCAATTGGCAAGTGTAGAGTAGATCAAAAGAATCATCTTCCATGTTCTAAATATCACACTTTTAAGTTCAGCCATGTAATTTCCATGTCTATATCATTTTCATCTCTGGGTTCTTTAGAAGACATGACAAAACATTTCATTCAGTAAGTGAATCCCATTTGTCTAATGCTTCTTGTCACATTTCCTCCATCACATGATTTTGTTTTGTTTTGTTTTAAATATTTTGGACATGAAACTGATCTGGTTGTCTCTTTCCTGAAAGGACAGTTAAGAAGGTGTAAGAATTCAAAAAGAGCCAAAATACCTTATAGAATTCATGTATATCTTAGGGAAAATAACCTGCCTTGAAGGATCTGGGGACAACTCTGAATATCCCTTGGCAATTTAATCTCAACTTCCTCTGAGCTCTGCAATACAAATCTCAACTATTAATGATCTTCTAGAACAGAAGACATACTTGGCTGGTTTCCTACTTGACTCGAACAGGACTACTCCACCACCTTTGCCCAACACCTCTCACTGCCTTGCATTTTTGATTGTAAAACTCCTTGGAAAGCTGTCTATGCCATTTTTATGTCTGGGTCCTTTAGAAGACATGACATACTACTTCATTCAGTAAATGATCATTAAATAATTGAAGTAAATAAAAATAATTTGATTGCATAATAAGCAGAATTGTTTAGAAGGCCTGCCAATTTCCCTGGAGAGACTTGAAAGATTTTGAGAGTAATTATAAAATTTCATGGAGCTGGTCTAAAAAGAAGGCAAATTTAAAGTGTAAAGTTTAGGGTATTATGCAAGGGTTGAGCTACTAATTCTCTACATGGTAAAAGTGCCTCAAAATGGGGCTGGGGTTGTAGCTCAGTGGTAGAGCGCTTGCCTAGCATGTGTGAGGCACTGGGTTCAATCCTCAGCACCACATATAAATAAATAAAATAAAGGTATAAAAATAGAACATTAATTTAAAAGAAAGTACCTCAAAATAAGGTTTTAAAATGCATCAAAACAAATGTATAAATGATTGCCAAGGAAACCAGTAATATCAAAATACAGTTACCAAAATAAAAATGTGTATAGAGCCACACGTGTGTTTTATTAACACACAATAATAGAGAAAGTATGTGTCTTTAGTAACACATTAAATTTCTTAAATGTGGTGCTGGGTCTAATAATCACCTTCATTTCAAAATAATTATGATCTTAAATATTTGGAGATATCTTCAACAACTGCAATGTGATATGAAAATATTTCTGATTTCTGATGCTGACAATGTCATAGATATTTCTAAGACTAGGATGGCTTGGTTACCTGTATTTAAACCAGAAGAAAATTTACCAATTTTCAGTTAGAAGAAAGTAAAAATATAGAAATAGCATTTCACATCCAAATTGAAGGACACCCTGAATTCCATTTAAGAAACCACTGGAGTATAGGAATTGTCTTTAAGAAATTAAAAAGGCAAAATTACACCCAATGCAATCTAGTAACAGAGTCTTAGCATCTGGATGGGTCTGTAAGTCTTAAGATTGAAGTTGGCATGTACGACAGCAAATATATAGAGTAATTGAGTCAAACTTCTTGGAAGCAACATAGTTAGCAATCTGAGGTATGCAAAATGATGGAAAATAGAGCATGACTCAAATACATTCTTTATTCTTTTTTTGTCATTTCACTCAGCCATCAAGTTAATATTAAAACAAAGCACAAAATTTCTGGTGCATAAATCAGTTTCTTTTAAGATTCAGTATTCTACTTCTTACTTTGGACCACTTTTTGTACTTAGTACTCTACCTACTATAGATGATTTAACTTACCCAACAAAATCAAAAGTAACTTATAGCCAGATTTGTAAAGGAAATAAAGTTTTAAATGTCAAATTGTCTGCAAAACCAAATGCAAGAGTGGAAGAGAAATTGTATCCATAGGTGATAGTGAATCTGCCCTCAGAATCAAGAAGCTTCTGTAAGAAAATCATTTTTACCATTGGCCTTTCTGTCATTTTATTTTTTTCTTTCACTAAATTTAACAGGAAATTGTGAGTTCATTTCTCTAAGGATAAAATGTGTCTCTTGATATGAAACAGGATGAATGGGTGACAGAAACATGCATTTTTAAATCCAACATGTATTTTAGGAAGAAGAAACTAAGTAAACCCATAGGGAACCAGGAGAAAAATACCAAATTTCTCTTCAAATTCTCTTGATTCCAAGATCCTTTATGCTAAAGTCACCTATCCTTTATCTACCACATCCACTTACTATCTTCCAAACCAAGTTCAACATAGGAATAAATCCCCTCGCTCTACTAATCTTACCAAGATTGTTCTCATATTCAGGGGATAAAAGGATCATTAGTATGCCAAAGCCAATGAACACACTCAACTGTTGACGGAGAAAGTGCTGCAGGTGCATTGGTTTCAGTGTGACCCAAGGAGCGACAGTGAGCATCTTGTCCTGAAGGCATAAAATTCAGTAAAATCTCCAAAGTCAAAAGGAAGGGCAAGGCAGTAGGGGGAATCCCATATCTTCTGCATTCTTCTACTCCATTCAAAGGTTTTATCATTGCCTTCAGGATATACAGTACAACATATATCCTGTTCCACTTAAATGAGGTGAAGTGGGGATGGGGGACACTAGAAGCAGTCTCTAGAGCAGTGAAAGTACTCAGGAGAATTCTGAATCATTAGTGTGCATCTTGAGCTGTTTCCTCTCAAAATGCTCCCAGATGGTTACAAGGAGAACAAAAACTAACAAGTAGGTAGCACTCACATCTTGTATATAGATCCTATCACCAGTTCTTCTTACAAGTCTTTGGGGAAAGGTCGCATTGTTGCAAAATATACTATATACGGTATACCTTTGCCAGAAGGTATACAGTATATAGTATATTAGTATATAGTATAGTATAGTATATGTATACCTTTACCACATGTGCTCTGAATGATTTTGAGAAAGATTGTTATTGGCAGAATGTGGAGATGATGTGCCCCAGATAACCATAATTAGATGAGTGTGATTAACATGAAGTTTGCACATAGAAAGAGCTCAACAAATATTACTTCTAATTATTATAACTAAGGGTAAGGGATTGAGATTATGGATAGTGTCTGAGTTTTAGCATATACCATATGTGACATTGTTCAAGAAATTTATTATAAATTTGTATAATCCTCAAATGTCTGGGTGAGAGGCTGAAAAAGCAAACACAACAAAACTTAAAAAAAAAAAAAGCTAAGCAGAATACTAGTTGCTGGATTGGATGTAGGTGAGGGAAGTAGAGATCAGAAGAAAACTTTTGGCAGAACCCTTCTTTCAGTCACAACTCCTAAATGACCATAAAAGCAAACTGAACATCAATGAGCATTCACAAAACCTGATGGAATAGGATATTCTTTCAGGCCAAGTTAATTAATTATGAGGTTAAACTCTTTATATCTCTATAATTTTCTGTCCAATTATTTTAAAATTAGTAAAAGATGTTCATCAAAATACATATGTAAATCATGCTTAGAAAACTTTAATTTTGCAATGTCATATTTTGAGATAATTTTGGATTTTTCAGAGAAGTTAAAAGAAGAACACAAAGAACTCTTGTGCCTCCCTTACTGGATTCTCCAATTATTAATATTTTACCACATTTTCTTTATCATTTGTCTCTATTTATATACATAGTATTTTAATATCTTGATAGTAAGCAATAGACATGATGCTCAGAATATGTAAAGAGCTCCTACATGTTAATAAAAAAAGCTGGAAATTTCCAGTTTTTAACTGAGCCAAAAACTTGAACATTAACTTTCAATAGTTAGATAATAGGCATATGAAAAAGTATACAACATAATTAGCCACAGGGTATATAAATTAAAAACACAGTGAACTTTCATTTACCCTCATCAAAATGGATAAAATGAATGAGAATACAGAGCAATTTTTACTGCTTATGGAAGCATAAATTGGTACAATCAACTTAAAAACTCCATTTGGCTGTATCCTTAAACATGAAAGAGTAAGGAAGAAAGAAGGAGCAAGGGATGGAAGGAGAGAAAAGGAAAGAAGGAAGGAGGAAACAAGTATGGTAAGGATGTGAAGAAACTGGAGCCCCTCCCCATATACATATATATTGCTGCTATGAATGTAAAAGGGTGCAGATTCTGTGGAAAACAGTGTGATGGTTCTTCAATAAGTTAAGCATACAATTACCATATGCCTCAGCAATTCCACTCCTAGGTGTACACTAACAAAAACTGAAAATAAGTGTCCAATTAAATGCTAGTACACAAATGTTCATAGCAGCAGCACTACTCAGAATAGGCTAAAAATAGAGACGACTCAAATATTTATCAACTATGAATGAACAAGAAAAATGAGGCATATCTATACAAAAGAGTAATCCTCAGCCATAAAGGAGAACAAAATGCCGATACATGCTACAACAAAGAAGAACCCTGAAAACATTACACTGGTCAGAAGAAACAAGACACAAAGGTCACATATCACATGATTCCATTTATATGAAATACTTAGAACAAGCAAAGACACAGACACAGAAAGCAAATTAGTGTAGAGAGAGGGATGAATGGGGAGTGGCTTCTTAGTGGTGGGAAATGTGTTCTTGAATTAGTTAGTAGTGATGGTTGAACCATATCATGAATGCACTAAATGTCACTGAATTGTACACTTTAAAATGGTTAAAATGCTGTTTTTATATTTTTATCAAATTAAAAACAATGAATTAAAATTGAAAAGAGACACAAAACGATACAAATGCCAGGGACCAAACTTATTTACTAAACTGCAGGACA